CGAACCCTATTCGGCATCGGGCCCGCCCGGCATCGAGCCCCTTCCGACATCGAGCAGATCTGAGCATACATATCAACATATCAACCAACATATAATTTAAGCACATAATACTAACATGTAAACATTCCTTGGGCCCCGCCCGTCATCGGACCGAGATCCAGAAACATACTAACATTCCTCGGGAACCGCCCCACATCGGACCGGAGTCCGGAACATACTATCATAACATATTAACTAGACATTCCTCGGGCTTGCCCCGTCATCGGGACCCAAGCCTGGAACACATAACACATAACAAACACATGTAAGAATCACAAAGACATCAAGCATACAAGCATACAAGCATTCCTCGGGACCACCCCGACATCGGATCGAAATCCGGAAAACATATAAACCTACTTCGGGCTCCACCTGACATCGGATCATGGTTCGAAACTACTACTATCGAGACGGGCCGACCTTGGTTCCTTAGACCCGTTCCTACAGGAGAAAAACTCACCTTGCAAAGCTGTCTGCAAAAACTCGCGGTGATGAATATCTGATAGCTGCTCCAACGACTCCCCGACTATCAATTCAAATGCCTCCAATTCACAGATCTGGACTCCTGAGACTAGCATTACACGTAAAGTTGATAACTTTACGTGCCTACATGGTGTTATGAAGCTAAAACACCCACCACAAGCTAAAATGGAGGTCTAAGTCATGGAAAAGGACCATGGCTGAATAAAGGTGGCAACTTTGAGCTTCTAAAGCTCAAGAGTGACCAGATCTGAAGTCCTTACATCACCAAGAGTTCAAATCTTGGACATGACCTTGGAAATGGCCCAAATGTGACAATATGCAAGCTCAAATGAAGATCTAAGTGAATAGAAGCCAAGGTATAAGCTTTATACATCTATCAAGACAGAAATGAGTCCCAAGCTCTAGATCTTCAGCCTTCCTCCTGCAACTCCAAGTCCTTGCTTCCTTCTTCTAGCTTTATATCACAAAAATGGCAAGAAAATAGCTCAATATCACTCAAAGTTGATTAGGGTTTCGAGATTTGGGTTTGGAGGTGATAGAGGTTGGGATGGAGGCCATATATGATGCTTAAATAAGGTGCAAGCCCTAAAGATTAGGGTTTCATCCAGACTGTCCTACTCGTCGAGTCGAGACTCCCGACTCGTCGAGTAGTTCACTTAAAACTCGCACAAACTCTTTCTTCTACTCGACGAGTTAGGGCCACCAACTCGTCGAGTAACCCTTCCAAAAAGAATAAATAATTAAGTTAAATGCATACCAAGAACCAGACGTTACATTGTTGGAACTAATTTGCATTAGTGGGTCGTTTAGATTAACCACAATACATGGTGAGACCAACTTCATATGAACATGGGTCTGGAATCTTTTAGGTATTCAGGGCTCTCATAAAGTGAAGTTAAGAATCAACTGGGCAATAGGATTAGACACTCATAGTGAGCATTTTAGTAAAAAACTTTATCGATCATCTAAGGAATTGTGAAAGAGTCTCACGAGCTATCTCCACCCAGAACACTTCCACTAGGAGTGTTATTTGGATAGAGAAACAAATCATTAATTGATTTTATACTAGATGATTTTCACTATGTTTACTAACAATTCATGGATTGTACCATGAATAGTGTTACGATAAGTGCTTTGGTCTTATACCAACTGAGTAGGTTCATGAAACACTCTATGATATGTGAAGTGGGATTCACTCCTCACTAGCACATATGTAAGTCTACGATTATGAGGCTTATTCTCGTCGTGAAGTGCTCGACAATCTAAAACTTAGAATAGAGATGTGTTATCTCGTTGGAGAACCCATCAAGCATTTTGGATAATTGTTCAACAATTATTTTGAGAACAAAGTGTATGTTGCTCGAAGGGAATTCTTCCAAGAAAGGGAGCTGATTTCCAAAAGGCCTAGTGGGAGCCACATTGATCTTAATAATATTCGAGAGTTAACCAACGAAGAGCCTAAACTTAGACCTAGCATTTAATTCGAGGTTGTAAGAGCTATTGAGGAAACTGACATACCTCCACCTCTTCCTTATATATCTGATAGAGGACGTCATACACCTAGTTATATAAGAGTTTATATTACTGAGGTATATGAGTCACTTGTAGATATCAATCAGAGTTACCAGCTATCGGAAGCTATGGTAGGCCCTAAAGGCTACAAAATGGAAGGAAGAGATGGATAGTGAGATTCAGTCCATGTATGTTGAAACTTGGTAGATCAAGCACTTGGCTTTAACCATTAAGCGTAAGTGGATCTTCAAGAAGAGACAAACATGGATAGGAAAAAACACATAATCAAACATGGATAGGAACAAACACATAATCAAACCAAGATAGGTTGTGAAGGATGTGTAAGATTAATAAGTTCATTTATGGACCGAAATAAGCATCTCACAAGTGGGATCATTATTTCAATGAGAAATTTCAAGGAGTTTGAATTTCGAGAAATAAAGATAAGCCATACATATGTCAAAAGATAGTGGGAGTGATTGGAATCTTTGTTTCAATGAGAAACTTCAAGGAGTTTGAATTTAGAGAAACATAGATAAGCCATATATATATATATATATATATATATATATATATATATATATGTCAATGCTAGTGGGAGTACTATTGTCACCATTGTTTAGTACATAGACAATGTACGATTCATAGGAAACTATGTTCTAACTTAGCAAGTGTAAAAGCTTAGCTTGGTATGGGAATCATTTCGCTGTGATATACAAGGGAGATACAAAAAACATACATTATGTAGATAGATCAAAGTGATTTGTTTGATTAAGCCAAAGTACATGGACTCTTGAGGAAACTCAACATGCAGAACTTGGAAAGGTTCGTGCTTAATAAAATATGGCATGACATTGAGTGATGCCAATGTCCTAGTTCTACTATTGAACTAGAGGATATGATTCTTGTCCCACATTCTTCTGCTATGGGATCGATCATATATGCCATGACATGTACCAGATCTGATGACTCGTATGCTCTGCGCATGAAAGGTTGGATTAGATTAAATTGACAAGAATCAACGAATCAAGATCAAGAACATTCTTAAGTGTCCTAGGAAGACAGAGGAAATGATATTGACAATATGGAAAAGATCATTATAAACGTTACATTGATACTAATTTCCACACTAATAAAGACAATTTCATTCACAGTCGGAGTTCGTGCTTTTACTTAATGGTGATGTATTAGCTTGGAAGAGTACCAAGTAATACATCATAGTGGATTTAACAAACTTAAAGTATATTGCAGTTGGTTAAAAATAAGATTGTATAAAAATACAAGGTGAGCTTCTATAATATTTGCAAAAAGATTGTTAATATTAATTGTCTTTAATGACATTTTTTAAGCAAGAAAGCCAATTTTTTTTAACAACCAATAAGAATCATATCACATGATTTTGTAAAAGTAGATTAATTTCGTTTTTTGAGAATTAATAATTAAAGATAAACGTTTTAAAAAGTATATTAGAGTCGGGATTGTTGGTCATAATCATCTGGTGATGACTTATAATGAGATATTGTTAGATCTATAAAAATAACTTTTGATGTCTTCTATCCATTTTAATCATCTTTCGCTAAGTTCATACTCACCAAACAAAATTTATAGAAATCAAATTAGATATAAAAATTAATATATTTGACTTATCGATATTTTAGTTAGTCATGGTTGACATAAGTCATGAACACAAACCAAACCAGAGAGTCAAAGAGTTTACCTTAAGATTAATCAATCCAACAAAAAATGAAAAAACCAATTTATAACATCAAATCCGTAATTGAGAATGTTAAACATCTCAAGTATATATTGCAATTCTCTTAACTATCCGCCGCCGGTGCATTGTGCAAGTATTACTGCATTGCATGTGGCTATTTCATAATACAAATGTATTTGCGAAAGTAATCACAAAAGTATAACTATTCGATGACAAGAGACTACTAGTCAACTGTCATTTGTGCGTTCCTTAGAATATGAAATATTTTCAAAAATAAACTAATTAACGAAAGTAATATGTTTAAAATGAAAATATTTGCCACCCATAATATGTTCCTTGAAGTATAACATGTTTTCTAATGAAAATAATTGCCAAAAGAAAGTATTCGTCGCCGCCACTTTGCGCGGGTACACCATTAGTATGTGTGTGTATATATATATATATATATATATATATATATATATATATATATAATATATATATATATATATATATATATATATATATATATATATATTTGATTTTTCATCATCTACTTTGTAAAATATATTTTTATATCCGTCTATTTGTTAAAATGTTAATTTGACCCCTTAATTCTTATCACCTCCATTTTCTAAACATTCGATTTTATCCTCCGTAGTATATGTAATCTGATTTTCTTTAAAAACTTTCATTCGTTAACTTAACATAAAAACTAATTTTTTATTTTTTTTTGTTTATGTATGTGTCGATATAAATTGAAGATGGTCAACGTTTAAACGTATTCAAATTCGAATTTGTCTATTTTTCGACTTAATTTCTTTTATGTATTACTGTTTATTTTTATGTATGTTTCCTATGTATGAATCGAGTTATATATAATACACTTTATTATTTGAACTCAATTACTAGTTTGAAACCAAAAATAAAAATTGATTGGAGTAAATATAATATAAACATATATTTAGTTTAATTCACATTTTATTTATTTATTTAGAGTATTATCTTTAATTTATAAATGCTTCAAAAACAATACCTTAAATTAAAAAAAAAATCAATATGGAAACGTCTAGAATTAACTTGTAAAACACGTTATTAGACCTAGACGGCTAGACGCCTCTAGGAACTGCCGGAAGGTTCGGTATTGACACCAACAACGTCTCTTTTTGTAACCCACGGCTATAAATTGAGACCCATTCTCCTCTTCTTCAATCCATCAATTCATTCGAATCATATCAAAGATCAACTAATTCATTCATTCATCCTTCAAAATATGCAGATCTTTGTGAAAACACTAACGGGGAAGACGATTACTCTCGAGGTGGAGAGTTCAGATACCATTGATAACGTCAAAGCCAAGATCCAGGATAAGGAAGGAATTCCTCCGGATCAACAACGGCTCATCTTCGCCGGCAAGCAGCTCGAGGACGGCAGAACCCTAGCCGACTATAATATCCAAAAGGAGTCAACCCTTCACCTCGTCCTCCGTCTCCGCGGCGGTATGCAGATCTTCGTCAAAACCCTCACCGGCAAGACAATTACCTTGGAGGTCGAGAGTTCTGATACAATCGACAACGTCAAAGCCAAGATCCAGGATAAAGAAGGTATCCCTCCTGATCAGCAGAGACTCATATTCGCCGGAAAACAGTTGGAAGATGGCAGAACCCTAGCGGACTACAATATCCAGAAGGAATCCACCCTTCATCTCGTCCTCCGCCTCCGTGGTGGAATGCAGATCTTTGTGAAAACATTAACTGGAAAAACAATCACATTGGAGGTTGAAAGTTCTGATACGATCGACAATGTGAAGGCTAAGATACAGGACAAAGAAGGGATTCCACCAGATCAACAGCGTCTGATCTTTGCTGGAAAGCAGTTGGAGGATGGTAGAACTTTAGCCGATTATAACATCCAAAAGGAATCGACTTTGCATCTGGTATTGAGGTTGAGGGGAGGGATGCAGATTTTTGTCAAGACATTGACTGGGAAAGACGATCACTCTAGAGGTTGAGAGCTCGGATACCATTGATAACGTGAAGGCAAAGATTCAGGATAAGGAGGGTATTCCACCTGATCAGCAGAGGCTTATATTTGCTGGGAAGCAGCTTGAAGATGGGAGAACTTTGGCTGATTACAACATTCAAAAGGAATCAACTCTGCACCTTGTCCTGCGTCTTAGAGGTGGTGTTTTCTGAATACAATCTTTCTTCCGTTTACGTGATGTGTTATCGTTTATGTAATCTACTGTTGGCATTTTGATGATATGATGGTATTATTTCTTTAACGATTAAGCTTTTTAGAGTGCTCATGTTTGAACAATTTTAGTGATTTTGGTTTTTGAAATGCAAAATCAGGAAACAAAAGCCTTTGTAAAATCAAGGCTTCTTTTCCTTTTTCTTAGTTTTATAATCCTACTTAACTGTTAGGAATTGAGGAAGAGTTTGATGCCCAGTATTGCTAAACTGTGAAAAGGGAGGTATATCCCTTGATTGGTATTGTTGAGTCTTTTCCTCTCTTAGTTAAAAAAACACAAAAGTTCATGTCTACCTTATAACCAGTCTTGAAGAATCAAGAGACAGAATTTGTGAATTCCTTTAAGTAACGAAATGACACAAACAAGGTGGGTTCTTTATATATTTGTGAAAGAAATAATCCATAAAGCTCAAATCGTATGTGTGTTTAATCCTATTTGCAAATTGTATGGTTGTAGCAAAATGGAGCGCATGTCTATATTTAAGAACTAACATTCACATCGTATATATAATGGTTTCAACTTACAATGTTTGTATGATTTGGTTGTATTTTAAACCATCATTTGCACATTTTGTATAAAAACTAACAACGTTGCATAAACTAACAAAAAGATAACCAAATTTGGTAAATGCCAAATTTATATGTCTACCTTTTAATTTTCTTCTCTAGTTTCTATAATCAAGGTTTTAAAATACGGAATCGGGCCTCAAGGTGTTTACCCCTCGCCTCACAGAGGCTTAAGCCTCGAGGTGGAATAAAATAAAAATAATAATATATTATATTAATCATAAAAAAACATACTAAAGTCCAATTTCAAGCATAAAATTCTTATTTAATGTCATCATCCTAAAAATAAAAAGATACTAAAATTTATAATAGTCTTCAAATCATGCCAAATTAGTAAAAACAAAACCATAATAGTATTCAAATCAAACCAAATCAACAAAAACGAGAAGAGAAAAGAAATTGAAGCAGTGACCTTCAAGAAGTCCAACTCAGTACCTTCAGATTTTGATGCAGAAGTGGGGAACAACTTCGATTTTAACTCACAAGTTGAAGACCATGTTCGATTTTGCTAACAATCACTTAACAGGGGGAGTAAGAAGAAACGAGAAGAGAAAAGAAAGAAGAAACGAGAAAAGAATGAATGACGGCTGGAGCAACATTATGTCAAATAAGATATCACGTGATTTCTAAGGTCAAAAAGTCAAAAAAAAAAAAAAAGGAAAAAAAAAAAAACCCAGCCTCATACGTTTCGACTCGGAACGCCCCGCCTCGGACCACCTTTCACCGCCTCACAGGATTGAGGCGTATGCCTCATTCTCCCCCTAAGAGGTGACGCCTCATAATCGTTTTTGTTCTGCCTCGCCTCGAGGCGTACGCCTCAAACGATTTTTAAAACCTTGTCTATAATTTCAGTTCCTAAAAAATATATTAGTTTTTCTAACTCTTTACTTAAAATCTCGATTTTTAAATTTGTTTAACCAAATTTATTTCATCCTCGATGTTCCAAGTGAGAACTCCATCATCTACAAAAATCACAGTAATACAACAAAAACTTTTTCTTTTTGTTTAGTATGCAAAGAACAATCATTCTTGTTTTATATAAACCCAAACTCATTCACGGAAGATGTTAAGTTCCTATTAGTTCCATTTTCTTGGGGCATTCTATTATCACTTTTTGGATTGGTTTTCTTCCAACAGATAAGCCAATAATTGTCCAATTGCCACTTATATTTAGGACTTCCATTTCCTCATTCACAATTCTAATCCAATTTTCGTTACCAAGTAAATGATCGGAAATTATCATAATATGTGATAATTGTTTTTATTCTATTAATATCTACTAGGTGTGAGACCCGTATGTTATACGGGTTTTGATAAAACAAAAAATTAAATATGCAAGTTTAAACAAAATTTTATTTAAATTTGAAATTTTAGATTTGAAATTTGAATATAAAAGGAAACATATTAAATAGTATATGAGTACTAATATTGTAATTTATTGGTTATTTTCAATTAATGTAATTATTAATTGAAGTGTAAATATGATGTTTTAATTAAGAAAATATAAAAAAAAATGAGAAAATGACAAATGTAAAAAACAATTATTCAAAAATACCAAAAAATGACACAAATGTCCAAGTTAATGAGAGAGTGATATGTGGCAAAATTATTTTCAAAGATAATAATTTTTAATTGAACAATATTTTAAGAAAACTGTTAATTATATGTAGTTTGTGTTTTGGGTTATATTTGACACTATTAATTAATTTCATTTCATTCATTCGATTTTTCCTACCTTACCAAACAACACGAGTTAATGATTTGTTTCATTCCAACAGAGTAACCAAGCCTGCCTATGGAAATGCTAATGAACTATTCCATTACTTATTCATTCTATGCCTTTATCCTTTCCATTTCATCATACCAAACACACCCTTAGCATTAGCCATTTTATGGTAGTGACCCAACAATCAATCATGAAACAGAAATAAGACCTGAAATCATCTTCCATGTTCTCTCCAACAATCATCAAACGCTGCTGATGCTTTGGAATCCCCTCGGCGTACTGAATCCTTTCCTTCAATTTACCAATAGTCAACGAGGTGCACACAATCTGCTCGATGGTCTTCCCTGCCAATCTCTTAATGAAAATCTGAATACCACCACCACGCATCCTCAAAACCAGGTGTAATGTAGACTTGACTTGGATGTTACAATCAGCCAAAGTTGTACAGTCTTTGAGTTCCTTGTCAACAACGATCAAACGCTGATGAAGCTGATGAATCCCCTCTTTGATATAAATCTTTTCCTTCAGGCTACCAATAGTCTCCAAGCTCTCTGCCATCAGTGAGATGGTCTTCCCTGTCATAGTCTTCACAAAAATACGCATATTTCCACCCAATCTCATACTCAGGTGCAATGTAGAATCTTTTTGGATGTTATAGAACCATCGAGGTTCTTCTCAGCAATGACCAAAACCTGATGATTTGATGGAATTCCTTCTATATCCTGAATATTGGCCTTCACTTCACCAATGGTAACGGAGCTTTTAACTTCCAAAGGGAGGGTCTTTCCCATTGGTGTTCTAACAAAGATCTGCATCCCCCCACGAAGACGGAGGACGAGATGAAGCGTAGATTCCTTCTGAATAGTGTAATCAGAAAGAGTACCGCCTTCTTCTAGCTGTTTGCCGGCAAAGATTAACCTCTGCTGATCGGGATGAATACATTCCTTGTCTTGTATCTTAGCCTTGACATTGTCAATTGTATCAGAAGTTTGCCGGTGAGGGTTTTTACGAATATCTGCATACCAAGGGTTTTGACTTTTGATAGATGTGTTTTGGGTTTGAGTCGAAACGAATGAAAAATAAGGAGATTAACGGCTGTGATGCATTTGTAGGTGGGAGACGCGGTTCGTATTCCAAATTAGTTTTATAAATGGAAGGTGTAATAAAAAAAAATACTTATTGATTTTAGTTTGTTATGTATTATACTTATAATAAACAACTTATGAATGAAAATAATATTAAAAAACAGTAAAATAAAAAAAATATCAATTGATTAACACACAATTAGATGAAATTAAGTTAAAAACTATTTTTCCCTTGTGAGGCTTAATAAAAGAAACATCCATATATATATTGCTATTTTCTTTGAAGTGAGTTTGTCTTTTGTTTTGGTCTGTTAAATAATTGGGCTTCAGCACAACTTGTTTGTTAGTTGGTTATGGTGATCGAGTCTTTTGATTTTTCTTGGGTTTAAGGAGTCATGAGTTATGCCTGTTTAGCTTCTTCAGTTATCATCTCATGTAAGCTATTTATAGCTGCTTTTGTTCATCAAATATACACAAGAAAACTTGAGTGATTCATATTCTCTGATATTTGCCACTTTACAAGTGGTATCAGAGCAACCTGGGAGCAACTTTGAGGGTAATCAATGGCGGCAGAGAATGCAATCTTTCAAGTCCCTAGCGTCCCAAAGTTTGACGAGGATTACGAGCATTGGAGTATGCTGATGAAGACGCTACTGAAATCGAAAGAGTATTGGGTAGTAATTGAGCCGGGGTACACCGAACCTCGAGAAGGAACAGTACTCACGGTTGCTCAATAGACGGATTTAGATGCTCTGCGTCTCAAGGATTTGAAGGCTCAAAACTACTTGTTTCAGTCGATCGACAAACATATTTTAAAGACTATGACTCACAAAGAGACTGCCAAACAGATTTGGGACGCTATGAAGAGCAAATATCAAGGCAACGTAAGAGTGAAGAAGGCGCAATTACAAAGATTACGAAGGGAGTTCGAAATCCTAGAAATGAAAGAAGGTGAAAGCGTCACATATTACTTTGGCCGGGTGATGTCCACAGCCAATGAAATGAGAAATTTTGGAGAAGAGATAACAGATGTAATGATTGTTGAGAAGATCCTCAGATCTCTAACTGAAAATTTTAATTATGTGGTGTGTTCCATTGAAGAATCAAAGGACACTGATGTGATGTCAGTGGATGAGTTGCAAAGTTCTTTGCTTGTGCATGAGCAAAAACTTTTGAAGAAACCTAGTGATGATCAAGTATTAAGCGCAGAACTTGATCCGACCGGAAGACGAGGCCGGGGGCGTGGTAGAAGCCCATTCAGAGGACGTGGTCGCGGTCGAGGAAGATCAAGGCCTGATTTCGATAAGTCAGCCATAGAGTGTTATAAATGCCATCAACTTGGGCATTTTGCCTACGAATGCACTCAGGGAGACAAGCCGGTAAATTACACCGAATTTGACGAAGGAGAAGATTTACTTCTGATGACTCATGCAGAAGTAAAGAAAGAATGCAAAGAAGGAATCTGGTTTCTTGATTCGGCTTGTTCGAATCATATGACTGGAACACGAGAATGGTTTGTCAACTTAGATGAAGGATTCAAACACTCCGTAAAACTGGGAAATGATCTTCGACTTACAGTTAAAGGAATCGGTGAGATGAGGTTCGAAGCTGAAGGCATAACTCAGGTTATCAGTCGTGTGTACTATGTTCCTGAACTCACTTCTAAGCATTTACCCGGGCAGCTACAAGAGAAAGATCTGACTTGTTGTTGTTTCGAAGAGGTGTGTTCAAGATTCTTCATCCTCAACGGGGTGTGATAACTACTTCAAGAATGACAGGAAACAGAATGTTCCTAGTGAATGCAAGGATGAAACCCATTGAAGGCCGATGCTTGAAGCTAGAAGGCGATGGTAACGAACAGATTTGGCATAGACGACTTGGGCACGTGAATAACAAGTCATTGAGAACCATGCAATTCAAACAAATGATGAAAGGGCTTCCTAAATTAGCTGAGTCTAGCAAAGTTTGTGAAGTATGCAATCTGGGAAAACAACAAAGAGTCGGCATTCCTAAGAGGAGTAACTGGAGAGCATCAAACCGACTGGAACTCATCCACACTGATCTATGTGGGCCAATCAAACCTGAATCGCCAAGTGGGAAAATGTATGTTATGGTGTTGATTGATGATTTTTCTAGAAAGGGATGGGTATATTTTTTGTCAAAGAAAAGTGAGAGCTTTAAAACTTTCAAAAGGTTTAAGTCTATGGTTGAAAATGAAATTGGGCTGACCATTAAAGGGCTAAGAAGTGACCGAGGAGGGGAGTTCACTTCAAAGAAGTGATTTGATGATTTCTGTGGGGAGTTTGGAATTAAAAGACAATTGACGACGGCGTATACTTCTACTTCGCAGCAAATGGAGTAGCTAAACGTCGTAACAGAACTTTAATGAATATGGTTAGATGTCTCTTGCTTGAGAAAAACATGCCCAAATGGTTTTGGTCAGAAGCAGCCAATTGGGCCTGTTTCATCCTGAACAGATGTGCTACTACTTCTGTAGAAGATAAAGTCCCTGAAGAAGCTTGGTCAGGTCATACACCAAATGTTGACTTTCTCAAGATATTTGGTTGTATTGGCTATGTCCATGTGCCCACTCAGCTAAGAACCAAGCTTGACAACAAAAGCATTAAGTGTATCTTCTTGGGTATTAGTACCGAATCAAAAGCATATAGGATGTATGACCCAGTACAAAAAAGGTTATCATAAGCAAGGATGTAGTTTTCTCAGAAATGAAGCATGGGTCTGGGACGCAGAGGTGTTTTGGTAGTGAGATTTATTAATTCCTGATGGTGATGGGGAAGAAAATCAGGAAGAAAAACTTGATGTGTTACAATCCGATGTGACAGGTCCTACATCAGATACTAATGTGAATGAAAGTCCCTCTAGAACTGCAGAGAGTGCAGATGAAGTACAAGGGAATAATACCCCTCGGTCTGTCACACCTCTTTTTGTCGTGGAGCCTAGGGACCGAAATGAAGGCAAAATTTGTAGGGCCTAAAAGGAACCCTATCAAAAAGGACACTAATGTCCCTATTTGGATGAGAGACTATGCGAGTGGGAAGGATTTCGAATGAAGCTGACTTTGCTATGTACAGCTACGATGAGGTTGACTTTGCTATGTATAGTTCATTTATGGTTTAAAACAGGCACCATGTGCCTGGTTTAACCGCATTGAAAACTACTTCTTGAAGGATGGTTTTGAGAAGAGTCATTATGATAATACTCTTTTTATTAAGAAAACAACAAAAGGAGTGGTGATTGTGAGTTTGTATGTTGACGACCTAATTTATACAGGTGATAATGAGGTGATGTGTGGAGAGTTTAAAGAGTCAATGATGCAGGAGTTCGAAATGACAGACCTAGGTGCTATGAAATATTTCTTAGGTGTGGAGGTGATTCAAGACACTGCCGGGATAAGCATGTGCCAAAAGAAGTATGCCAAAGAACTGCTAGAACGGTTTCACATGTGGGAATGTAATGCTGTGAAAAACCCCATAGTTCCTGGAACTGCTGTCACGAAGGCAGGAAAGGGAAGCAAGGTGAACGAAACAGAGTATAAAAGCTTGGTGGGAAGTCTCATGTACCTCACGGTCACGAGACCGGACCTTATGTATGCAATTTGCTTTATTTCCAGATTCATGGCTGATCCTCGTGAAGAACACATGGCATTGGCTAAGAGAATTCTAAGATATGTCAAGGGAACCTACGGTTTTAGGTTATTTTATGTTCGAAATCCTGTAGCAAAGTTGAAGGTTTATACGAACAGTGACTATGCACGTGATGTGGAAGATAGAAAAAGCACGTCCGGGTATGCATGCATTATGAGCAACGCATCAATATGTTGGAATTCTAGGAAACAAGATATTGTTACGCTTTCGTCTACTGAAGCCGAGTACGTGGCTGCTACAGCATGTGCATGTCACTATGTTTGGCTCAAAGGATTATTAGAAGAAATAAGTAATGAAAAGATTGGTACCATTGAGATTCATTGTGACAATAGTTCTACTATCAAGCTGTCGAAGAATCCTGTTCTACACAGAAGGACCAAGCACATCGATGTGCGGTTTCATTACTTGAGAAACTTAGTAAATAAAGGAAAGGTGCAGTCGTCATTTTGCCCTTCATCTGACCAGGTAGCTGATGTCATGACCAAACCGGTAAAGTTAGATGTGTTTGAAAAAATGAGGAAGCTGCTTGGAGTTGAAGACTTGAATGGTTAAACCGAAAGGTAAACCCTGTTTCAGTTTAAGGGAAGGATTTGAAGTGGGCTTGTCTTTTGTTTTGGTCTGTTAAATAATTGGGCTTCAGCACAACTTGTTTGTTAGTTGGTTCTGGTGATCGAGTCTTTTGATTTTTCTTGGGTTTAAGGAGTCATGAGTTATGTCTGTTTAGCTTCTTCAGTTATCATCTCATGTAAGCTATTTATAGCTGCTTTTGTTCATCAAATATACACAAGAAAACTTGAGTGATTCATATTCTCTGATATTTGCCACTTTACATTCTTCCCCTTTATACATAAAGACTTTCTTTTTTGTGTAGACTAAGTCTATCAACTCAATAAAACATTCACGTGGAGATATTACTTAAGGAACTCCATCTTCATCAAGAATGACATATATGTGTAACTTCATATTTAAATGCAAGTCCATCAACTCAATAAAACATGCATATGACATATATGTGTAACTTCATATTTAAATGCAAGTCCATCAACTCAATAATATGGAGATCTTCCTTAAGGAACTCCATTTTCATCAAGAATGACTAATAGTGTAACTTCATATTTAAATGCAAGTCAACATCATATACTCGATTACTGACCGGGAATTAATATTATAAATGTGATCGGTACCTATAACTTTTGGATATTGACTCCATTTTCAACATTAGACAGAATTACCCGTCAAACACTCACATCATAAACTTGATCATAAGAGACTGTATTTCCCAAGCTCCCGATGCTTCCTAATAAATATTACAAATTTATTAAGTTATAAATTTTTTATAAAAAGTTATAAAATAAA